TAGGTTCTGTAGTAGTGCTCCTAGAAGCTAGGTTCTGTAGTAGTGCTCCTAAAAGATAGGTTCTGTAGTAGTGCTCCTAATAGCTAGGTACTGTAGTAGTGCTCCTAGAAGCTAGGTTCTGTAGTAGTGCTCCTAGAAGCTAGGTTCTGTAGTAGTGCTCCTAGAAGCTAGGTTCTGTAGTAGTGCTCCTAGAAGCTAGGTTCTGTAGTAGTGCTCCTAATAGCTAGGTACTGTAGTAGTGCTCCTAGAAGCTAGGTTCTGTAGTAGTGCTCCTAGAAGCTAGGTTCTGTAGTAGTGCTCTTGGAAGCTAGGTTCTGTAGTAGTGCTCCTAGAAGCTAGGTTCTGTAGTAGTGCTCCTAGAAGCTAGGTTCTGTAGTAGTGCTCCTAGAAGCTAGGTTCTGTAGTAGTGCTCCTAAAAGCTAGGTTCTGTAGTAGTGCTCCTAATAGCTAGGTACTGTAGTAGTGCTCCTAAAAGCTAGGTTCTGTAGTAGTGCTCCTAAAAGCTAGGTTCTGTAGTAGTGCTCCTAAAAGCTAGGTTCTGTAGTAGTGCTCCTAGAAGCTAGGTTCGTAGTATGCTCCTAGGAAGCTATGGACTGTATTAGTGCTCCTAGAAGCTAGGTTCTGTAGTAGTGCTCCTAAAAGCAGGTTCTGTAGTAGTGCTCCCTAGAAGCTAGGTTCTGTAGTAGTGCTCCTAAAAGCTAGGTTCTGTAGTATTTGCTCCTAAAAGCTAGGTTCTATAGTAGTGCTCCCCTAGAAGTGGGTTTCTGTAGTAGTGCTCCTAAAAGCTAGGTTCTGTAGTAGTGCTCCTAAAAGCTAGGTTCTGTAGTAGTGCACCTAGAAGCTAGGTTTCTGTAGTAGTGCTCCTAGAAGCTAGGTTCTGTAGTAGTGCTCCTAAAAGCTAGGTACTTTAGTAGTGCCCCTAATAGCTGGGTTTTGTAGTAGTGCCCCTAGAAGCTAGGTTCTGTAGTAGTGCTCCTAGGAGCTGGGGACTGTAGTAGTGCTCCTAAAAGCTGGGGTTCTGTAGTAGTGCTCCTAAAAGCTAGTTCTGTAGTAGTGCTCCTAGAAGCTAGGTTCTGTAGTAGTGCTCCTAAAAGCTAGGTTCTGTAGTAGTGCTCCTAAAAGCTAGGTTCTATAGGAGTGCTCCTAGAAGCTAGGTTCTGTAGTAGTGCTCCTAAAAGCTAGGTTCTGTAGTAGTGCTCCTAAAAGCTAGGTTCTGTAGTAGTGCTCCTCATAGCTAGGTACTGTAGTAGTGCTCCTAGAAGCTAGGTTCTGTAGTAGTGCTCCTAGAAGCTAGGTTCTGTAGTAGTGCTCCTAGAAGCTAGGTTCTGTAGTAGTGCTCCTAAAAGCTAGGTTCTGTAGTAGTGCTCCTAGAAGCTAGGTTCTGTAGTAGTACTCCTAGAAGCTAGGTTCTGTAGTAGTGCTCCTAGAAGCTAGGTTCTGTAGTAGTGCTCCTAGAAGCTAGGTTCTGTAGTAGTGCTCCTAGAAGCTAGGTTTTGTAGTAGTGCTCATAGAAGCTAGGTTCTGTAGTAGTGCTCCTAGAAGCTAGGTACTGTAGTAGTGCTCCTAGAAGCTAGGTTCTGTAGTAGTGCTCCTAGAAGCTAGGTTCTGTAGTAGTGCTCTTGGAAGCTAGGTTCTGTAGTAGTGCTCCTAGAAGCTAGGTTCTGTAGTAGTGCTCCTAGAAGCTAGGTTCTGTAGTAGTGCTCCTAAAAGCTAGGTTCTGTAGTAGTGCTCCTAATAGCTAGGTACTGTAGTAGTGCTCCTAAAAGCTAGGTTCTGTAGTAGTGCTCCTAAAAGCTAGGTTCTGTAGTAGTGCTCCTAAAAGCTAGGTTCTGTAGTAGTGCTCCTAGAAGCTAGGTTCTGTAGTAGTGCTCCTAGGAGCTATGGACTGTAGTAGTGCTCCTAGAAGCTAGGTTCTGTAGTAGTGCTCCTAAAAGCTAGGTTCTGTAGTAGTGCTCCTAGAAGCTAGGTTCTGTAGTAGTGCTCCTAAAAGCTAGGTTCTGTAGTAGTGCTCCTAAAAGCTAGGTTCTATAGTAGTGCTCCTAGAAGCTAGGTTCTGTAGTAGTGCTCCTAAAAGCTAGGTTCTGTAGTAGTGCTCCTAAAAGCTAGGTTCTGTAGTAGTGCACCTAGAAGCTAGGTTCTGTAGTAGTGCTCCTAGCAGCTAGGTTCTGTAGTAGTGCTCCTAGGAGCTAGGGACTGTAGTAGTGCTCCTAAAAGCTAGGTTCTGTAGTAGTGCTCCTAAAAGCTAGGTTCTGTAGTAGTGCTCCTAGAAGCTAGGTTCTGTAGTAGTGCTCCTAAAAGCTAGGTTCTGTAGTAGTGCTCCTAAAAGCTAGATTCTATAGGAGTGCTCCTAGAAGCTAGGTTCTGTAGTAGTGCTCCTAAAAGCTAGGTTCTGTAGTAGTGCTCCTAAAAGCTAGGTTCTGTAGTAGTGCTCTTCATAGCTAGGTACTGTAGTAGTGCTCCTAGAAGCTAGGTTCTGTAGTAGTGCTCCTAGAAGCTAGGT